TCAAGCTAGACATGATCGATCTTGTTTGTAGAGTGATTCGAATCTCAAACAATGTTCTTGCCTTGAGATATTCGATCAACAAGGTAATCCGAAAAATATAGTAAAAGAAGCATTTGTGCTCTTCTTTAGCCAATGACTAAGTTTATTTGCAATTCTATGTAGTTTAGGTTGCATGTAAAATCATTTAAGCTCGACATGATTAATTTTGCTTGTGGAGTGATTCGAATCTCAAGCAAGTGTTCTTGCCTTGAGATATTTGATCAACAAGAATCATTCAAGCTAGACATGATCGATCTTGTTTGTAGAGTGATTCGAATCTCAAACAATGTTCTTGCCTTGAGATATTCGATCAACAAGGTAATCCGAAAAATATAGTAAAAGAAGCATTTGTGCTCTTTTTTACCCAATGACTAAGTTTCTTTGCAATTCTATGTAGTTTAGGTTGCCTGTAGAATCATTCAAGCTCGACATGATTAATCTTGCTGGTAGAGTGATTCGAATCTCAAACAATGGTCTTGCCTTGAGATATTCGATCAACAAGGTAATCCGAAAAATATAGTAAAAGAAGCATTTGTGCTCTTTTTTAGCCAATGACTAAGTTTATTTGCAATTCTATGTAGTTTAGGTTGCATGTAAAATCATTCAAGCTCGACATGATCAATCTTGCTTGTGGAGTGATTCGAATCTCAAGCAAGTGTTCTTACCTTGAGATATTTGATCAACAAGAATCAATCAAGCTAGACATGATCGATCTTGTTTGTGGAGTGATTCGAATCTCAAACAATGTTCTTGTCATGAGTTTCGATAAAACTCGTATTTAAATTCATTTACTTTTCGGCCGATTGGGAAAATAAAAATTTAATTATTTTATTTTTAATTTTGGAGACTAAATTTTCAATTTAACACATAAAATATTGACTCAAAGGGACAAATTCTGCCACATTCACGTTCGGAAAAAAATTAATTTAAAGAAATTAATATTTAGGGGTCCGAAAATGAGATGTGCACTCATGTTCTAATGTTACGTTCATAATTACATGCGAACAAAAGGCCCTCCTCCATCATTCTCATTATTTTATTATTTCTTTTAAGAGGAGAAGTTTGTTCTCACCGTCCTCACGATAAGAATCATGGTGTTTTAAATGGACCGATCATTCCAAATGGACCTATTCATCTACGAAATTGGATCGGCTCGGTTAACCATAGAAATGAATATTTGTAATGTCAAAAACGAGATTTGAACTTACACATGTGCTCAATAGATTTAAGTTTATCTTCTTACCCATTCAAACATATCAAGAAGACTTCATTGTTTTTTTCGTTGTCGTTTTGTAATGGTCAAATGGTCAAAATTGACTTCGTCTTTTGTGGAGATTAAAGGGGATCGGGATTGAATCCTGACCACAAACGTTTTTTGTTGGGTTATGTAAAAATTAGATTAGTGAATGAATGAAATTGAGATCTCGAATTGAGACATTTTCCTTAGAGATCTGAGCATCAATTTTGTTATTTCTAAGTTTCAAGCAATTCTTGTGTAGAATTGCATCGATCATAAGAGATAATCTAATTCTAGCCTTATTTCTTGGTTGATCCAAATTTCGTATCAGGAGACTTTGATTCAAAGTTCTTGTTTCAACAAAAGCTTGGATCGTTGGGCTAAGGATTAGAGTTGTCTTATCACGACCCAGGTGATCTACCAATGATAGTAAGAATTCTCCCGTTTTCTGGTCAAAAATCTACTCACGACCTCTCTTTTCATACCATTACGACATGCTCTTGTCTCGAGTTTTTTTCCAATAGTTTTTAGCGTTAGAAGAAGCCTTGTTCGTCCTACATCCTTTTCCTCTACCTCTCATTTACTGAGGGATTTAGTATCTATCTCTACATATATTTTCAAATCGTGAGATTTGGTTGAGCTAGTTTTAATATTGTGAGATCCCACATCGATTGAAAAGAAGAACGAGTGCTAGCGAGGACGTTGGATCTCGAAGGGGAGTGAATTGTGAGATTCCACATCAGTTGGAGAGAGGAACGAAACATTCTTTATAAGGATTTGAAAACTTCCCATCAGTAGACACGTTTTAGAAACTTTGAACTAAAGCTCGAAAGGAAAAGTCCAAACAAAATAATATCGGTAAGTAAAAAACTGTATGATACAATTTTTTAATATTATATTTTAAAATTTTTACCGACATATAAAAATTACAAAATTTAATTTATGTCTATTATTATTAAGTATATATTATTAAATGCTTTAATTGTTCATAATTACCTTCCTTTTCATCCAAAAATAGGAAATTAAATATGATTTTTTTAGAACAAAAATAAAAATAATTGAAAATCCCATAATTTCTTCATATTAGAAGCAATTATAACAAAATATTTGATATTATTATTAAAAAAAAAACAATTTTATTATAAAATATTAAAATTTAATTTTCTTAAAAATAAAATAAAATATTAACATAGCAGAGATGACGTATTTGAGAATTAATTTATTTTTTATTTTTAGACTTCTTAATTAAAAAAAAAAAGCATTTTAATTTTAATTTTATTATTAACACTTTATTTTAAAAGAATTTTGGCTTTTTTTTAAATGAATTATGATTTATAAAACCACATGTCTTTTGTAAAGTCAAGAATAAATACTAATATTTTATTTTGATAAATTATTTAATGCATAAAATAATTAAATATTGAAACATATATATAACATAAATTATTTATTTATTTATTAATTATGGTACAATCTAGTTAAATTATTAAACATGGGTACACGTAAAACTTAATATTCAAGATAATTCAATTATGGATTAAAATAATTAAAAAAAAACAGTCCATATTTATAAACATTTATTTTATTTTTATAAGTTCATAATAATTAATTATGATTTTCCAAAAAAAAAAATATTTGGAAAGATATAATTAATAAGGAATAATAGTTAATAAGATTTATGATAATTAATATTTTATAAATAATTCAAACTTATTTAGGAGTATTGTTAATGCAAATCTTTATTGTTATGGTATTTCTTAAAAGATTAAATTATTTATTTTTATTTCAAAAATTTCGAGTGGGTTAAATTGATGACATAATCTAAACCGAGTTCACAATTCAACCTTCTATTTTTTTTCAAGATGGAATGGGTTGTCGGGTTGTTTTTTTTTTTTTTTAATAATTTTGATAAAAACCTACTTATCTTTAATGTTCGAATATTAAACAGTTACTCGTCATACTGCAATATTAATACTGGTTATAAACGTCGAATATTCTTAATTTTTATAATAATCTTAAGAGACGATATGGTAGGTTTGGGTGTAACCCTCCCGACAAAAAATATGTCAACCCCACGAACTGACCCGAATTTTAGGTTTTAAAAAAAATTCAACCCAACTCAAACCGAAAAAAATCTAACCCAATCCAACTTTTATGATTTGGGTTAGATAGTCGCGATGGATCAAATTCTCGATTCATTTAAACGTCCCTAAACTTTTAATTGAGATAACTTACCCTAAAGATAGCTCCGAGATATTCATAAAAGATAAAAAATAATATTATAACTTCAACATGGGTTTATTTAGTTGGAGTGAGAAAATGTTTTGAACCAACTCGAAATTTTGGTTCGGTTGAATTGATGACGCTAGCAACTTGAATAGATTTCACAACCTAATTATAATAGCTCAAGCCCACCGCTAGCAGATATTGTGCTCTTTGAGCTTTCCCTTCCGACTTCCGTTCAACATTTTTAAAATGGGTCTAATACGAGAAGTTTCTACACGCTTATAAAAAATGTTTAGTTCTCGTTTTCACAATATCGATTACAAACGTCAAATATTCATAATCAAAATATTTTATAATTTAGCATAAATAAATAAATAATAAATAATAATAAAGTGAATCGGACGGTGGAGAGGGAAATGGGATAAAAGGAAGAAGAAGAAATAATATATATATATAAGAGAAGCAGAGGAACATTGCCTTGGAATACAGTTACCACTAACCTCGATTTATCTTCCCCATGATTCGCTTCTTTCCTTTCTCCACTGCATATGCTTAAGCTTTTTTCCTTCTCTAATGGCTTCTCTCGCGCCTAAACTTTTTCCCTCGCTTTGAAACCCTCCATTTCATCTTCCCCACTACGGCGGCGCCTACGATGCTGCTACCTGACCCTGCAGCTGGCCACGGTGGCTCTGTGGTGGTCGTCGGGGTCAGAATGGAACTCCAGAGTCGGGAATTGCTCACTTGGGCGCTTGTTAAGGTTGCTCAGCCTGGCGATTGCGTCATTGCTCTTCATGTCCTTGATTCTGCCGCTGGTAATTGTTTTGTTTTGCGGCCTTGTTTCTCTCGCTTCATTCCGTGGTTTGATTTTGCTTTGTAGTACTGAGTGTGGAGTTTTCTTTGGCTTTCTGTTGTAGTTGATGAAGGGAAGTTGACTCTGCTCTCTCTTGTGAAGTCGTTTGACTCTATGTTGTCCGCTTATGAAGGATTCTGCAACCTGAAGCAGGTTAGAATGTTGGTGAATCGAGAGATTTTTTTTTTTTTTTTTTGCTGAAAATCTGAGCGTGGAATTGTTGCTTGTGTAGGTTGATTTGAAGCTCAAAGTCTGCCGAGGATCGCCGGTCCGGAAAATCATTAGACGGGAAGTGGATTCGTACGGTGAGGCTTCTCTAATTCTCGGTACTTCTAAATCTCACCATAGAATCCGTTCGTCGGCCTCGGTTGCTAAGTACTGCGCTAGAAAATTGCCGAGCAGATTCAGTGTTTTAGCAGTTAATAGTGGCAAAGTCATTTTCCAGAGATTAGCGACTTTCTCAACTAAAGGCCAGTCTCGAGGTTGCAATTATTTCACTTTTCTTTTTTGCTTTTAGGTTGTGAGTTCTTGTTTAGTGCTTAGATCATGATTTCCCCCTTTTTCTTTTGCCTAATTTAGCAGACAAGGATAGGGACAAGAATTGTGCTGCCATTGTAGAAGTAGCTAATGAAGCAAAAGCTGATGGGTTAGCTACAAACTTTATCGACAGTCATATTTGTTTACAGAAATCTGACTCTGGTTGTAATGATAAAATGGAGAGGGACTCCGTTGAGGGCACTCCATCTTCACTTGAACGGAATGATTCCGGGACTGATTTGGTTGATGAGTTACCTGAGGACAATGCTGTGGGGAATTCACTGGCTATAGTACCATTTCATAAGCCTCAGGGATCGTTGAAGTCGAATTCCATTGTGAGTCGAGAATCATCACATTGGAAATCGAGTTGGCCGCTTCTACGACGTATATTTTTGTCCAAGCAGCATGTAGAGAAATCTTCAAAGAAGTTTTCTATGTTCCAAGGCATATTGCACGTTTCAAACATCCAGTCGTCGTCCTCGGCCTTGGTTTATCCAGATCAGAAACAGAACAGTTCTGATCAGGATCAGGGTTCCACCATTGATAGGGAGTGTGGTGCAATTGTGCCATATGGGTCCGGCTACATTTTGGGAAGCCTTCCTAAAGAGGTATTGGATTTGAAGGATAAGTACTCATCCACCTGCAGATTGTTTACTTATGAGGAACTTTTGTCAGCAACGTCTAATTTTATGCCTGGTTTGTATCTATCTTTTCTCAATTTCCTCGGATTTTGGGACTGGATGATTCGCTAACAAGTATTTATGTGTGTGTCTTTTAGAGAATATGGTTGGTAAAGGAGGTAGTAGCTATGTTTACCGAGGGCTTCTTCCTGATGGCAAGGAAATTGCTGTCAAAGTTTTGAAGCCATCTGAGAATGTTCTTAAGGAATTTGTTCAGGAAGTTGGGATCATTGCGACATCAACTCATAAGAATGTTATATCTTTAATGGGTTTTTGTTTGGAGGACAATAATTTACTGTTGGTCTACGGTTTTCTTTCAAGAGGAAGTTTGGAAGAGAATCTTCACGGTAAAGATCTATACTATTTTTGAAGATCACTGATTTGATTTTTGTTAACTATGTTCTTACTATCAATTGGTTGTTTTATTTAAGGTTGTAAGAAGGATGTGAATTCATTTGGTTGGCAAGAGAGGTTTAAGGTTGCTGTTGGTGTTGCTGAGGCACTAGATTATTTACATAATTGCAGGGAGGAACCTGTGATACACAGGGATGTGAAATCCTCTAACATTCTGCTTTCTGAGAATTTCGAACCTCAGGTTTCATGACATGTTCCTTTCTCATATTCTGTATCTTTCAAAGGGTTCCACTATCTGATTGATTACTGATGGTTATGTTTTACGACCCGTTCAGCTTTCCGATTTTGGGCTTGCTAGTTGGGCATCCTTGTGCTTTCAAATCACTTGTACTGACGTAGCTGGAACGTTTGGGTATGCAGTTTCTTCTCCGCTATTTCGACGTCACGCAGTTCATGTTTTTCGTTATTTTTATGAAGATTTTGGTGTTCTTAAACGTGATATTTGATAAAGTATTGTTTTGAGCATGCTTCATTCCTTTATGGCAGTTACTTGGCTCCTGAGTATTTCATGCATGGCAAAGTGAGTGACAAAATCGACGTTTACGCATTCGGTGTGGTACTCCTTGAACTACTTTCAGGTAGAAAACCAATCACCGACAATTGTCCCAAGGGGCAGGAGAGCCTTGTCATGTGGGTAAGTGTCGAGTTTTTTCCTATTACCATCCATAACAATCAAGGTCAGGACAATGAGTATGATGTTGAGGATTGTTGGGAGGAAGTCCCACGTTGGCTAATTTAGGGAATGATCATGAGCTTATTAGTAAAGAATACATCTCCATTGGGGAAGCCCAAAGCAAAGCCACGAGAGCTTATGCTCAAAGTGGACAATATCATATCATTGTAGAGAGTTGGATTCCTAACATGGTATTAGAGCCGTACCCTTAACTTAGCCATGTTAATAGAATCCTCAAATGTCGAACAAAGAAGTTGTGAGTCTCGAAGATGTAGTAAAAAATGATTGAGTCATGATTCCTAACATATGAGTTGTCGTGAAATCAATTCTTCTCGATTTTTCCTCAAACTTATCTATGGAACTGATGTGACATATGCAATACAGGCAAAACCAATTTTGAAGGAAATCAAAGTTTCAGAATTACTAGATCCAAGCCTAGGCAGTGACTACAACGACGATCAAATAGGTCGAATGATTTTGGCTGCTACTCTTTGCATTAGACGAGCACCGAGACTCCGTCCTCAAATCAGCCTGGTAAGTTGACTACGAAATGCACGACGCTATCAGCCTCTTCCACTTGTCAATGCTTGTCTGTGTCATCAATGGTCGTTTTCCCTTTGACCCATTCATTTGTTGTTTTTTTCAAAACTTGCAGGTCTTGAAACTTCTCCAAGGGGATGAGGAAATAACAACATGGGCAAGACAACAAATCGATGAATGCGACGAATTCGATGCGAGTGATGGAGAACCTCTACCTACTAACATTCAATCACACCTTAACCTGGCCTTGCTTGGCTTGGAAGATGACTCACTTTCTATTGGCAGTGGAATTCAAACCATCTCCATAGAGGACTACTTGCAGGGCAGATGCAGCAGCCGCTCTTCAAGCTTTAACTGAAATCGCTCACTCTCAATCAAATCAGCCAAATTTTAGGTATTAACATCTTCCTCCAACTTCCTTTTTCTTCCATAGCTTTGAAGGGCTTTTTCTTTTAATCTTTGTACTGATTGAGATTGAATAGCTGTTCATAGAAAATTGTGGGTTTGAATTAAAGGAGATGATGTGAGAGGCCCCTGCAGATATCAAGGTACTTATTTCTGAATTTATTGTGAAGTTCTCTGCTGATCTACTTTGAAAAGTTCAAAAATTATCCCTTGGGGTCTCCTTTTCTTCTTTCAGTAGGTTTCAGCTTTATGAGAACCAATGAAAAGGAAACAAATGGGTGGCTGTGTTTTACTTTTTAGTCAAAAAAGTGAGTGAAAGTGCACAAAGTCTAGGTTTTTAATTTTAATTTTCTAGGAAAGTTCAAAAGTGCCCAAGTTTTGACGTAGAATTGTGCATATTCTCTTGGAGAATGGGCATATTTTGTTTTCTTCTTTTAACGATGCATTCACGTAGAGATGTCCCGGTGTCTATTCCCGCTTTTTATTTCATTCTCTATTCCTATTTCTGCCTCTTATTATATAGTTGTTAAAATATAACTAAATTGAGCTTTCAAACGAATCATAGTAAAAAAAGAGACTATTTGGACAACAATTGAAGAAGTCGAACATAGAGCAGGAAATCAAGCCACATGACGCGGGGGCAATGTCACGATATTGAAATTGCACAAGTTCAAGAAGCTAACGCTCCTAAGTAAAGAGTGCAAACCTTATGTTAAATGAAAACATTGCTGAAATACTCTATAGTTTGTTTGCTAATGTAGCAAACGCTATGTGTCATTGTTATTCTGTAAGTAATCTCCTAATATGCATGAACACACGAACCAAAAACATATAACGTGTGTTACATGACTCAAATCTAAATGATATAAACATGTTATTTCTATCTATAGACAAGTGAATGATTAGCCCCTGATCTATGCAAACGAAAATCCTAGAATATCTTACCTCAACTGATGAAGATTGACACTCTGTTAATGGAACGAAGTCTCACCCATTACAACACTTCATGAAAATAATGGACACTTATTGGTGAAACACTTGACCGCCTGACAATAGTTTGGTAAAAGGACACTTATTGCACACATTCAAGCTCGACTTTGTTACCTAATATAGCTGAGTTATTTTAGAAGTTTTGATCAATGGAGTGTGGTCGAGGATCCTCTCGAGATGATTTTGAGAGATTAGTGCTCAACGTGAGATCAAATATTACTTTGAAAGTGTCCAATTGTCTGAGATTAAGCTAAACAACTGGAAAAAAGGCCTCATACCGATGGAGATATCGTCTCGCGATCTTTCCCTTAATTAGTCAACGTGGAATTTCAACAATTCTCACCACGAATTTATAGATTTTTGATCCATTACATTATTTTGAACACAATACTGACTGTAATTCCTTTCGAGATGGAAGTCAGAATCGAAGAATTTCACTTCAAACACAATGATATTGACATCATTCAACCAAATTTATACCTCAACAATGTTCGTGAAGATCTGTAACGAAGAATTGCTTATAGACTGTGATTCTTTTATCTTTAAACACTTCATATATACAAATGAATTGAGAAATTTGAAAGAATTTGAGAGAAATGGAGGATTTATCAGCTGCTTCTATGTTGCTCGTTGTTCTTCAGCCTCTGACACTTCACCTTCTTCCTCTGGCTTCTTATATTCGCTTCCCATCTTCAAGTTTATGAGAAAAATAACACCAAAAATAAGCAAATTCGAGAAATAATCCATTTTCGTTCATCTCCGTTCATATAATTTTTCGTTAATTTTGTTCATTTCGATTTTTCGTGTTCATACTTAGAAACGTTTATTTTGTTTTTCTCTATTCAAAAAACGAGAAATAAAAAACAATAGCTGAAAACGCTATCAAACGAGCTCTTAAACGAACAATGGAAGAACGAAAATAACGAACCTGAGTGACTAGAGAGTACAAAGGCAATGTGCTATAACTGCAAAGAACTTGGACAATTCCACTGAGAGGAAGAATTTGAGCAAAGGTTAATCGCCCTACTTACGAAAATAATAATAATAATAATTTTCTTATTATTTGACGAAATTTATTTTAACAGCTAAACACGAACATAGTTAAAAAAAAAAAAATTACTTTTGGTAAAAAGAAAAGGTAAAAAAAACAATGAATGTTAATAGTATTACCCCAGGACTAGTCTGGTGATGATAAAAGCCGGTCTCTCCATAATGCAAGACTTAAACCCATAAGTTGTCTGCCAATATTTTCAACAAAACGTAAAATCCTAGTAACTTTTTTATCTAAAGAAACGTCATACGGTGACAATTAAAAAGAAATAATCTTACCCAAATCCAAAAGAAGAAGGCAATCTCGAAAGAGTTTTGAAAGAGAATGAAGTGAATCAAAATGAGGACAAGAGAAGGACGAGCAAACCAAAAATGATCATCTGAGGGATTCACTTCATGGCGGCTACCATGTTTCTTGATCTCGTTATGTCGTCTTTGAATTCTATGGATGTCATGTTCTTGTTGTGCTTCTTTGTCAACGATTCTCGAGTTTAGTTCTTGAGCCATTCGGGTAATTATGTATTCCAACTTTGCCCCTACTAGAAGTAGCATCTGAATCATATCAAGGTCAATACGTTAACATTGACTGCGACATCCACTCCCGCTCTCATTTTCCATCTAAACTAAGAATCTCCGCCCGTTCAAAAAGCTCCTATTAATTTTCTCTAATATTAAGAACTTACAATGAGGGGTAGAAAGGCCAACCAAAAGTAAGTGTGCCATCCTACACTTGAAAGTAAAAAAAAAAAAAAAAAACAGTAAAATTATTTGCAGATAAGTGATTGGTGAATAATTGAAAGGGTAAATAATGATATTTACCTTCAAGATTAAGAAGCAAGAAGAGCACAACAAAGGCCCAAAGATACCAACTACAAAATAATTCTTTTAATTAATTGTGGGTATTTAGTAAAAAAATCAAGGGTAAAAGTGTAAATTTTGAAATTAAACGCTAAATTTAAAGGGTAAAAATGTAATATTTTAAAATTTACGGACTCAAAATTCAAGAATAAAACGGTAACATTTTGAAACATAGATACCTAAGGACAAAATGGTATTTTTACCGAATTTAAATGTTTTTTTTTTAATAAACGTGAAAATTATATATGGTATCATTAAATGAGACCTAAAATTTGTTTAATTTAGAAAAGAAATAGTTAGGAAAATTACATTATTTTTGTGCTAAATCAAAAGGGTCTCACCTTATGCCTACAACTTTCTTGAAATCATGTTGATAGGTCTTTGTAATATGGTCGTAGAAATTAAATTTTGGTTCCCCGGGACAATGTTTCTGTACCATAAAACACGTTCAAATCACACGAACTATTAGAAATACAATTAAATTTCGAAAATTTGAGAAATATAAAAATCGAACGTTTACCGACCTAAAGACACAAATTTGAAAGATTAGGACTAAATTCGAAAAGTCTCAAGGGTAAAAATGTAATATTTTTAAATTCTAGGGACCTAATGGAAACTAAACACGTAACAAAAAGGACCAAAATGATATTTTCTCCTTAAATTAAAATGACTAAAAACGAGATCAATAAAAATAAAAAACCCTAAATTTTTTTTACTCTGAACTTGCCTCCCCTTAATCGAGGCTCGACTCCTTTGGAGTCTTAGTCATTTTTGACTGCCTTCGTACCTTCGAGGAGGCTTGACTCCTTTTGGAATCCTTTGTTCGACATTTAAAGATTTGCCAATCTATTGACACGGCTAAGTTTAGGGCATGGCTCTAATACCATGTTAGACGAACACGACTCTCCACAATGGTATGATATTGTCCACTTTGAGTGTAAGCTCTCATGGCTTTGCTTTGGGCTTCCCCAAAAGGCCTCATACCAATGGAGAGTGTATTCTTAGATTATAAACCCATGACCATTCCCTAAATTAACCGATGTGGGACTTTTATCATCCAACAGTATCGATTAATTTAAACCCTAAACGTGAGATCCCACGTCGGTGAGAGAGGGAAACGAAACATTCTTTATAAGGGTGTGAAAACCTCCCTTAGTAGACACGTTTTAAAACCGTGAGACTGACAACCATACATAACGAACCAAAGCTAATAATATCTGCTAACGATGCATAAATTAAATTTTTTGGTAAATAAATATGGAAAGTAAAAATAAATAAATAGAAATATTTAATTGGATGGAAATTATATATAACCTTAATAAAGCCTCGTCGAAGAAAAATGTAATCCGACTTTGTGATTGATCCATGAAACTGCTTCACAAATGCCACCTAAAATATATATATTTTTTTAAATATTTAGAGCTTACGTCATAATTATTTTATATTTCAAAAATAGATTATAATTTTTAAAATTTTAATTTATTTTATTTGATTTTTCTATATTAATTTAATATTTAAACATATAGTAATTAAGAAAATATTAAAGAAACCATGTGAAAAAAATAATATAAAATCAAATATTTCTTTAAAAATTAAATCTTTGTTAGAACTTCAAAAAAAAAAATAATAATAATAATAATAATTTTGAAATGAAAAATAATAATAAAATAAAATAATTAATTACCATCCAAGCTATGACAGCAGCATTTAGCCAATATCCCTCGGCACGTTCTTTAAACTCATTATCTTTACAAAACAATGAAATTAAAAAGTTTAGATGATTTTTAGTACAAATAATTGTAGAAATTATAATCGTAAATTACTTTAAAAAAAAAAAAATAGGGTTTCGTTATCTCTATTCTTGAACGACCTAAGTAAATAGGGTTTTGATTTAATGAATTGACTCTCGTTTACCTCGTAAATTGGATTTCACTATTCTTTCACGAGGGTTTCCCAGTCTCTATTCTTGAACGAGGTAATAAATAGAGTTTTGATTTAATGAATTAGACTTTCATTCACCTCGTAAACCCGAGTTTTACTATTCTTTCATCTGGGTTTCACTATCTCTATTCTTGAACGAGGCAAGTAAATAGGGTTTTAATTTAATAGTTTGACTCTCCTTCACCTCGTAAACTTGAGTTTCACTATTCTTTAACGAGAGTTTTACTATCTCTATTCTTGAATGAGGTAAATAAATAGGGTTTTGATTTAATGAATCGACTCTCCTTCACCTCGTAAACCCGGGTTTCACTATTCTTTCACCAGGGTTTCACTATCTCTATTCTTGAACGAGGCAAGTAAATAGAGTTTTGATTTAATGATTTGACTTTTCTTTCCCTCGTAAATTTGGGTTTCACTATTTTTTCACTATCTCTATTCTTGAATGAGGTAAATAAATAGGGTTTCGATTTAATGAATCGACTCTCCTTCACCTCGTAAACCCGGGTTTCACTATCTCTATTCTTGAACGAGGCAAGTAAATAAGGTTTTGATTTAATAAATTAACTCTCCTTCACCTCGTAAACTCGAGTTTCACTATTCTTTCACGAGGGTTTCATTATCTCTA